AATACTCATTAAAATTTAGAAATATTGTAGGCGAGAAAAATATGTTGAGTGAAAGCTACTACTTTTTAGCTATGGTTTTAAAAACAACTTTTTTTTTTGAAGGAAACGGAACAAATAATAATCATAATATCGCTTTTATTGACATTTAAATACATAAGAAAAAAATATACGTTATCATATTAGCTTATGTACACAATTATGTCAAAAGACCGAGTTTGGAATTAAATTACAATCTTCCACTCAACCAGATAATAAATATAAAGTAGGAGATTTACTAAATCGCCCAGTCAAATTTTGCCGAACCAATTATTTACATTGAGTTGCCCGTCTGGTGTTGTCTTTGGTTTTAGTTGCAATGGAGCGATTTACGGAGGAACAACATGCTTTTTATATTCGTTCTTTTTATAAAAACAATGATTCTTATGTTCTTGTGCGTCATTTGTACAGAAATCATTAAAATATAGCAAGAGTGAAAGATTGGGAAATTTTATTGAAAGATATCCAAAGTGCAAATTTAAATACTATTGGTTAAGGAAGTTTTAGAGTACTCGAAATGAAATTTGCACGATATCTTTAATTCTTGCTATGTTATAATGATTTATGTACAAACGACGCACAATAATATAAGAATCATTGTGTTAATGAAACACACGAATACAAAAAGCACATTGTAGCAACTAAAATTTAACATTGTGGGGGTTGTAGCAACTAAAACTTAACATTGTGGACTACTGTTTGCCAACTGCGTCCTATCTCGAGAATGTGCGTATTGCGCCAGCGGACAGATTAATGAACGAAAATATTTCTGAGACACCCTTTACTTTCAATCTGCAGTGGGATTCTCATCTTTCAATACGGCACATGTTGAAACGCCTATCTTCGTTCGACAGAATGCAATTCTCATGTAATGTCTCTCTCTATTCGATATGTATGTGTATCGAGTTTGTACATAAGAATCCCTGTTCTCATCAATATGTATACTATATTACTAGAAATCATGGGCAGTCATTTAAGGTAAATTTTGGAACTCAATAGTGAAAAAATTATAAGAAGATAATAAAACAAATCCTATATTTATCACTGTCGTTTAAAATGATAAAACGTAAAAAACGACAGGAAAAATCAAGACAATAAATGCAGTTTTATTACAAGAAATAACGAAACAAACTAAAAATCTTCGAATTATTAAGCTGTATAAACTAAATATTAATAAACTAACCAAATAATTTAGAGATAGAGAAAAACAAAACTGAAGTATAATATTAAATAATGTTTCTAAAAATGTGACCACCTAAGTGTGGTCAAGGTTGTTATGTCTTTATAATGACGTTCTATTAATCTGATTTAAAAATGGTTGGTTTGTATTGACACTAACTTGACAATGCGCTTGGTGTATTTTATGTATTGTAGTTAGGATTACGATACGCAGACTAACGGTATGTTCCTGCGCATGCAGCTGACGGACGGTGAGGTCACGTGGGACTTGAAATTATTTATAAGAAGTATTTGAAATTCTATATTTGCCCGGTTTTAGATTTTATGCAGTTACTTAAGCTTTATTGGTTATTTTGTAATATATTCGTTTACAAATATGAAGGTTTAAGGTAAATAATACAAACAAAAATATATTATATACAGAGTGTTTCAAAAAGATTGGTCATAAATTATACCACATAGGTCTATTAAACCGTACTTACCTATATACAAAAGTGTACCCAAAAATAGTTACAGGGTGTATAAGATAAAAATTTATATTAATTTTTTTTAACGTTGCTCTTAAACCGTTTGGCATTTTTTTCATGAAATTTTATATGACGTATTAGAATACCATGACTAATAATACCGAGGAAGAGGCAATATTTTTTTCTTGATTTTTATAGGTTTTTGGAGGGGGTCACTGCTCCTTTCTCCACTCAACTTTTTTGTAGTATAAAATTTAATTACAAATGAAACGCCACTGGAATGCAACATTTATTTGTAAACTTTTTTGCCTCTTAGTATTTGTTTGTAAAAAGTTCAGTTTAAATTTTTTTAAATTACAAACTAATGTCATCAAAATAAAAAAATTAATTAACCAGGTGTTCAAAATTACATGCTCCTCCTGTATAGTTTTAACAATGAAAATCGAATTTTGATATTTTTGCATACGTAAAATTTACATTGAATATTTTTAAGATGTCATTTTAAGTGGCTGTATCGTCTAAACCAAACATTTTACAAACAAATACTAGGAGACAAAAAAGTTTTCAAATAGATGTTGCATTTCAGTAGTAATAAAATTTTATATTACAAAAAAGTTGAGTAGAGAAAGGGGCGGTGACACCCTCCAAAATCCTACAGAAATAAAAAAAAAATATTGCCTCTACCTCGATTTTGTTAGTCATGGTATTCTAACACGTCATATAAAATTTCATGAAAAAATGTCAAACGGTTTAAGAGCAACGTTAAAAAAATTCATTTAAATTTTTATCTTATACACCCTGTAACTATTTTTGGGTGCACTTTTGTATATAGGTAAGTACGGTTTAATCGACCTATTTTTGACCCAAGAATACGTGGTATAATTTATGACCAATCTTTTTGAAACACCCTGTATATTTTTCTCCTAAATTATAGGTACCTATTTTGTGACAAAATCCATAATCTGGCCATAAGATAATTGAAAAATATAGACTAAAAATACAAGTTTAACTCAAATTTGTACTTTCTGGTAGATCTCTTGCAATTCCTTTTCTTATTCTGTGAAATAAAAATAAGTGTGCAGAAACAAATTATTTATTTATAAGAAGTATCTACACAAAAAAATTACTTTTTATTTGGTAAATTTAAACAATTTTGTCACTTTGAAAATACTCAAAACCCATTTTTCTGTTCATGTATCTTATATATGTTCTTATACAGGGTGATTCAAAATAAGAATTTTTTTTCATATAATCTTATGTCCTAACTTGCTCCGTTTTCTAGATACAGGGTGTCAAAGTTTTTTAAAACAAAACGGTTTTTTAACAATTATTAATTAAATAAAATCACACTTTGAGACGTCACTGGAATAAATAATAAATGCAATTTCATAACAAAAATAAAAATTAAGACAGACCTATTTGGCGACAATCTCCATCATTTAGTAATTAATTTTTAACTTGTTTTAATAGGGCCAGGCACAGATTTTGATTTTTTTTCTTGGAACCAAAGCTAGATACGAGTAAAGCTCAGGTGGCTAGCAAGTTACATTATTGACCGTCTAATCTAAAAAAAATGTATTGTCAAAAAAGCAGTGCCATACCATAATTTTACCTATAAGTATCAAGTAGGTAGCCCTCTGAGACGCCACTGGAATTAATAATAAATTTATTTTGTACTCACCAAAGGAAGGCCTTTATGACGACAAATAGGCCTACCAAATTTTATTTAAATCGGCTGAAAGGTTTTTGAGTAATTGATAAAAAACAGATTTTTTTTTAAATTTTGACACCCTGTATCTAGAAAACGAAGCACTTAAAATCTTTGCACTCAATTTTGAATCACCCTGTATATATTCGTGTCCTGCTCATGCATGGCATTACTTCAAAAGGACCGTTGTATTGGGACACGAAACTACTGTTATAGTTTAATCTGCTAAAATTTTAAAATAGCGATTTTTCTTTGCTTAATGAGGCCCCATGCACCTGGTGGAAATCAGTTTCCTTTTCTTGCGTCCATGATTAAGAGGAATATCACAGCTACTTTCCCCAAAGCTAAATAAAAAAAAATTATATATTTTTTATTTTAGCAACTTGTTTAAATTAAGCTTGTCTTTTCTTCAACAAGAATTTAACCATATTTTGTTGTATTCGGAAATATCTTACATTACACTATTTTTGGATTTCGTATTATAGTTTTTGCAAGACGCCAACGTGCATCTTAGCATTTTAAACATTAATTCAGTTCTTTTCTGTTATATATAGGAGAATATAGTCACTACTAACACAAAAACAAATAAATTATTAATTTATTTTACACTATTCAATCGAAAAGTGTCAAAATAACTTAAAAGTTCGTCCCGCATTACGTCATTGAGCGGTTTAGACGAATTTTGAATCGACAGTCAGCATATTGTTAGTATGTATATCGTGGTTAGGACTTCGTTTTGAATTTGTAAGGAAAAAAAATTAATATTTGTTTTGTGTACTAATTATGGATGAAAAGAAAATGGGCCTCCGAAATTTTATAAAACCTTTTGCCATTTTTATCAATAATTCTTGGCTATCTTGAAAATAAATTGGCTTTCTATTTACAAAAATCTTAAATACGTCAATATCTAGGTACTCACTTAGGGTTGCCAGACGTGTCGCTTTATGCTTAATTGTACCGTTTTTAAACTTGTTGGCATTCGTTACGCCAAAGTTCGAAAATGCCCCGCATTTCACCTAAATGCTACGCTTTTTAAATCTAAAGTTATATATAAAGAAATTTTTTACCATTATTTCTTGAGAAACTCTTAGGATGGTTTATAAAAATGTAAGCGGAGGACCTTTTTCTAGATCTCTACAAAGAAAATAGCTTATTTTATAAAAATATCTGTTTTTTTAACCTGATCCCCTCTCGTCACCGTTGTCCACTTTTTCCTTTCGTAAATCTGGCAACCCTATACTCAGCTTTTCTTTCGATTTTACAAATAACAAAACCAAACAATAATTTAATAATTAAAAAGGGAAAGTTTTACATTTGTCATTTCATTTGACATTTCATATCTATGATGACAACGTTTTTACTGTAGCCATTTTAAACTTGACCATTTCAAGACACTATTCAATATGACGTCATTGTTTGTAATTTATATCAGTGTAGTCATTCATATTCAAGACATAAGATCTTTTCCTTTGCATTGAAAGTGTACCACTAAGTATGAAGACTAGATCCACTGAGCTACGTCACTTCTAAAAATATCGTTCCATTTATACAAATTGTATGGATGAAACGATATTTTCAGAAGTGGCATAGCTCAGTGCTACACTTTCGATACAAAGGAAAAGATCTATAGTATCGGATTTAAAATCGTCTATTGACTACTAAGTTATCAAATGTGACATAAATTGTCAAAATCTAAAAATGTCTGCAGATATAACCAAAATTTCCCATAAAAGTTCATTCAAACCTCTGGTTCAATTTAACTATACTGGAGAGAGATCACCAAAGCCAGCTATAAATCAAAAACCATCTTTCGATCCTTTCAATGATATCGTTGAATCGCACGCTAAATTTTTTAACAACAAGAAGATTACGATATACGTAGACGAAGATAGTATAGATGAAAACGAATGCATTATTGTAGAGAAAAAGAGGAAACAAGAAATTTGTAATCGAGAAAGTAGAGAAAGTGACGCGTCACCTATCAAATACGAATCCATTGTGGCCAAAACCAAAAACAAAGCAAATAAGGATCACATTGTTACTTTCAGTTGTACGAATAGTAATCTTGAATTTACTAGTAATGAAACCAAATGGTCTCAAACCAGTGAATCAACGAGTGGTGATTCTAATGAATCATCAAAATCTTCTTCTATTAAACCATCGCACCCTTCGGAAATTTGGAAGACAATTTTGGCAGCTTTACTCTTATGTTTAACATTTTTTATCAATTTAATAGCCTTGAGTATAGTACATGATAAGGTACCTAGCAGATCAGATGGTCCACTACCAGACGTGGTTCTTGATGCTATAAGTAACTACAGCCAAATGCTCTATATATCAGAATACATAATAATGTTTTCTCTATTTTCTTCAGTTACATCTATATTACTATTCCACAGATATAGCAGCATAATTTTTAGAAGAACATTTCTTATACTGTCTGTTTTGTACTTGTATAGGACAGTTACTATGTCGGTAACAGTTTTGCCAACAGCTTCGAATAAATATAAATGTGCTCCAAAATTGCAGCATCCCAGTTATTATGATATAGTTAAAAGGTCTTTATCGTTAATTCCCAATTTTGGACTATCTGTAATAGGCCCGCAGGAATTTTGTGGCGATCTCATTTACAGTGGCCACACTGTTCTATTGGTACTGATTTCGTTGGTGATGTCAGAGTATACAACAAAAAGTTTGTGGATGGTGCATTGGCTGTACAGGTGTTTGGCTTTAATAGGTATTTTAATGCTGGAGCTGTCTCACTCCCACTATCTCATAGATGTCATAATAGCATATTATATAACAACTAGAGTATTCTGGACATACCAAACTCTTGCAAATAACGAATTTTTAAAAAACATGGATACAAATAATTGCTTCACAAGGGCGTGGTGGTTTCATATATTTTTGTTTTTTGAAAAGAATATACAAGGGCCGGTGCCCAATGAATGCCAATGGTTATTTGATAGTGAAGACAATGAAAGTGACAAATCTAATTCGTCAAGGTATGGTTCGATCTGAGATAAAAAACGTGGCATTCTCCAAGGATGCTGTTAAATATTTTTGTAAATTCATGTTTGTTATTGTAAATAATATAAAGAATTTTTTTACAAAGGTATTCAATTAGGTAGTTTCAGGTTGCTTAAATAATAATTACTCATTAAAATTTAGATTTCTGATTGCTTACCAAAAAGTTTTATGAAATATATCAAATAACCAGTATTTGGAAATATACCAGTTGTACCGTTACTCTAAAATAAGGCAAGGGTATATTATTTTTAAATAATAAAAATAGCACAATGCGGTTGTATTTTAAATTTAAACGAAAATGAAAAACTGAAAAAAATACAGGGTGTACTACGTAAAAATATATCATTATGTTATTTTGGAGTAATGGTTCAGCAGGTTTATTATTTCTTAATGACTTATACATATAACTTGATTTATTTCATATAACTGGTTTTTACACAGTATTGTACAGACTATAAATTATTGTGTTTCTTAAACTACGATCGCCTAGTAACGTTGACTGGGCTGTATAAACTGGCAACGCTAATACCTATTGTTTTCTGCTTGCACTAGTGCTTACTCTTTGTAGTTTTCACTTGGTCATTAGCAAAGCGTATTGGAAAGCGTTTTATAGCCAACACTGTATACAGTAACTTCGGTCATTGAAAGGGGTGTTATATGATTTCAGAAACACTCAACATTAGTGGGGGTTTAGAACCGCGCGACTTCAGCCGTCTCATTCAAATTACTTAAGAAATGTAACAATCTGTATAAATAAATAGGCAGTCAAAGCTTCAAACGACTATTTCGAGGACACGACAAAGTGGAGTAAATCATTATCGTTTCGTGTATAATAAAAAACTTAGTTGACTCGACCTTAGACAATTAATTTTTTAGAATCCCATAAAACACCGTCAGCCGATTTCGACTGACAATCAGCCCTACCTGCGTTAACCTGATTTATAACCAATAAAATTAATTTAGCTTTTAAAACCGTTTCGTTCTCTGAAATTATCGCAGAGATTAAAAACCTAATTGTTAATAAATAAAATATCCAATAAAAACAAAAGATTTAGTGATTGACTCATAGAAACAGCAACATGGCGGGTTGTAAAATTTAAATTGTATGATTAACACGGGTATAGAAACCAGTGGAGTGTCTGAAATGGAAAAATATAGTGAAATTCTAAATAATTAGTAATGTTGGAATAATAATGTCTCAAATACCAATAGGCCAGAAAATAAAGTACATTTGCCTCTGAAAAATAAGAATAAAGCTACAAATTAATATGTTGGTCCAATTTGATGTCCTGATGATTCCTTTTTATTTGCTCAGGGCTGAATGGCTTAATTTTTTTTGAGGTAGTTTTTTTTAATTAGATTTTTTGAGAATGTTGCGTAGACAATCACTATTTGAAATGAAAAATTCTTGGAAAATCAAATTTGATTATAGTTGAAAGAGTAAGGATAAATTTAAAAGAAGATGAATGCTTTCAGTTATTGCAATTATTACGGTATAGTTTGGTCTGTTAGTATTTGTTTCGTGCTGTTAGTGTTTAAATTTTAAATGGCGAATCCAACAACGATGTTTGGTCGAAGGGGAAAACTTTTATTAACAATTAATGAATATCAATATTCAAATGGCCATGCCGAAAAAGATGGAAAAGTTAGATGGTGATGCATCAAAAAGTGGTGTTAACAAAAAGTGTACACAAAGGAAGGTGATGAAAATTACGTAAATTTTTAGTAATTCTACAAAGAGGAAAGCTGAAGAAGATTTATGTGAAAGTGCTTTAAAGATTGTATACCAGGGATTGAGGAAGGAAAATTTCAGCAATTTACCGCTGACGATGAAAGACATTTTTTGCGTTCTAAGAAATATCTTTGCTGCAAGAAGAAAATCCACACCACCATTGCCCAAGTCACAGGAAGAAGTTCTGCAAGTATTCGTGAACTTAAATTTAAAAACAAATAGAGATAAAAACTTTTTATTATCTACAAAAAATTATTCCGCAATTTTTAGTTGTTTCTCAAATCTTCACTTTTTGTGTAATGGTAGATTCTTTGTATGTAGATGAAACTTTTCAATATGTTCTAAATATTTTTGTCAGATATTTACTATACAAGGCTACAAAAATGGTTTTTATGTTCCTCTAGTGTTTTGTTTGTTAACAAATAGATCACAGCAATCGTACAAAAGTACTTTTGATTCATTAATAACAATATGTACAGGGTGATTCTTTTATTAGGGAAAATGAGTTTTTCTCGTAAACGGCTTCCGCAAATTGAGTTCTGTAAAAAGTATTTTATTTAGACCGATTGATGCTTGAAATTGGCAGGCCCGACTAGAGGGGGGGGGGGGGTAGCCGGGACCAATTCCCGGGGCCCGGGCTCAAATGGGGGCCCGGCAGCGCTATAAGGGGGGTCCGACAATGGGGTTTTCTGTTCCCGCATGGTGATGTGGAGGAAAAGTAGCAGAGGTCCTTTTTTTTAAGAAGAAGAATAATTGAAGTAGGGATAAACTATTTTTTTCGAGGCGAGGACCTTTTTTGGTGTTAGAAAAAGAATAATTGAAGTAGGGAGAAAATTTTTTTTTTTCGAGGCGAGGACCTTTTTTTTTAGAGAACGAGAAAAGTTTTTGTCACTGGGCCCGATGTAGAGAATTGTCCCGGGGCCCAACCTGGCTCTCGGCGGCCCTGGAAATTGGGATGGATATGGAAGTTATAATTAGGCGACGCTGGGCGTCGACGCTTCACATTTTTTTTTGTCAGAAGCATACTATTTTTATTTTAGAAATTGAAAGACCTACTCAACAGAAACATTTTTTTAAAATAACCTTTTTTTCATCTAAAACCATTCAATAGTTACAGACCAGTTTTTGTACTTTAAATTTGTCGATTGCCATACAAAGAATGATGGGTTTTTAAAATTCACTAAATCAGGTAGGCTTTGAAAAAACAAACTTGGCTTATATTGATTGATGTTTGAAACTGAGTAATTTAAATTATTTCTATTAAAATGGTAAGTATCAAAGCCTACCTGATTTAGTGAAATTTAAAAAACCATGCATTCTTTGTATGTCAATCGACAAATTTAAAACATAAAAACTAGTCTGTAATTTTTGAATGGTTTTAGATAGAAAAAAGTGTTTGTATTAAATAGATCTTTTAATTTATGAAATAAAAATGGTATGCTTTTGACAAAAAACATTGTGAATCGTTGCGACGCCCAGCGTCGCTTAATTATAACTTCCTTAACCATCCCAGTTTCAAGCATCAATCGGCGTAAATAAAATACTGTTTACAGAACTCAATTTGCTGCAGCCGTTTACGAGAAAAACTCATTCCCCATGATAAAATAATCACCCTGTACAGATTTGAATTTGAATTTCAAACCGAAGCGAATAATTTCTGATTTTGAAACAACAATTAAAAATTTAGCGAAGTTAGTGTGGTCCGACATTATTAGTTTTTGTTGCAAATTTCATTTAACACAAAATTGGTTTAGAACAATTCAAAATTTAGGTTTGTTCTTAGAATATAAAAATCAAACTGTTATTGGAAAATATTTAAAATTGTTTTTCGGTATTCCTTATTTAGATCCAAATGAAGTTGGTGACTTTTTCTGACTTTTTTATAGTATGCCAGAAGATGACACAGTTTTGCAATTTTGTGATTACCAAGTTGATAATTATTTCCACCTTACATGTGGGCTTCAAATTCACCATCTCTTATATTTACTACAAACGCATGTAAATCATTTTACTCGAAATTTAACGAAAGTTTTTATAAATCACATCTTGACATATTTAAATTTACAGACATTTTGTTAAATTTTCAAGCAGAACTATATATGGAAATTAGAACTGCACATAGATTTGAAAAAAAAACTTGATAAAACGGCAAAAAGAAAAGTTGATTTTATTGAAAATAGGCTAATTGAATATTACGTTAATCAAAACATTACTAAATTAGACTTCATTAAGTCAGTTTGCAATTATTATGCAGCTAACTTTTAATAAACAAAAATATAGTGTTTACTGTATACTGTATTCACACTTAATTATTTTAATCACTAATCAGACTTTAGAATTAAGCATTGTTATTGTTTAAGTAGCCATTTCTTAAAAAAATTTGTAAACAAGGCAATGCTTAGAGGCAATGCTGTTTCGCAATCTGCAGCAAAGGTGAAACTGTATATATCACAAAAAAATAATATCGACCTGATGAAAAAATAAAAAACGTTCAGTCCAGGAAAATGCAGTGACATTTTATTTTAATGTTTCAATAATTTGTATTTGGTACATTATTTTTATGCTCAGCATTGTAATAATAAATAGTTTTTAAAAACCTATTTTTGGTATCTTACTTATACATAAATCACATATTTTATAAAAAAAAAGTGGGTAATATAATGCAGGTAAATGAGTCACTAGCTGCGAATTCTAATCAGTTAAAAATTTTTGGCCTCCCCAGGTGCGAAATTTTTACCCATGGTCCCCAGTTGAGAAGTTCCGAGTTGTGAAGATACCTTTCTTATTATCCGGATTATAGAGACTATTCTTTAGAAGTCGAATGTTCTTCAAAATAAAAAAACTGAATTCGAATTTTATATAACAAATTTGCAATTATTTCTCATCATAGTTTTTTCCTTAATTATCCCATAATAATATCCTTAGATATATCATGTAATTTCTAAAATATAATTCTTTAACATTTATGAAATTTCTGTAAATAGCATATTTTTTCTTCATACGTCGTCAGTATTTTTAAATTCGGGCCTATACAAACTCTACGCTTGACGTTATGCGCTTGGCCGTCCTATTTTTACCACAGTTGATTATATCCAACCTTCTACTTTTTATACCATGCTCAAGATGTATACATTGATCAATTTTGTTTTTATTCAATATTTATTTTCTACCTTCAAAATATTTTACAGCGCGTCTCTGCCAGGCGCCAATATTTATTGGCCCTATTCACAAGTAGTAAAATCCCGACTAAGGCCATTAAAATAAACCTTTATTAATGAAGCGATTTCAGATTGGTATTTTAAAATATGACTGTAATTTTAAAGTTACATGTGTGAAAATTCGCTTTTTTCTTTGTGCAATTATTGATAGCACAGAA